AAGTATTTTTCTGACACTTGTTGGGACTGCCAATTTTCACTTTTACAGAGACTTAAAATACCTCAGACTATTAAAAATAATTCTTAAAAGAAAAAAAAAAACACACACACACACTGGCTGTGTTTCTATTCTCCAGTTCTGTCTTGATCATCCTACCAATCCAGCTGTGAAGGTAAATGAATGTCCCCTCCCCAAAGCTATTATTACTGAATGTGGTAATACTTGCACGGAATACCAGAGCAGCTAGGTCCTTCAATGTAATCATCCTGCAGAGACCTCACACTTTAACTGGGAACTTTTTACTCTAAATCTGGGTTTTCCAATTCATATAAAAAGATACTAGCAATGGTCAAAAGCCAGCTATTTTAAAATGGTATAATTATAAAATGAGATGTCAAATATTAACTGTTTAATCCTTTCGTCACTGTAGTTCTGTATAACTGTCATGTCTTAAATTAGTAAGCAAACTGTCTAGAATAGATGCTGCAATTTTAAGAATAGTATTTTCACCTTCCAAGAAGAATAAGGTTTTGTCCACGTTCAGAAGTCAAATTAGCCACCTCAAATATTGCAGACAAACTTCTAATTTACTCAGATTTTGAAAATGAAACAAAAAGCAGCAACAAAAGAAACACCTACATGAACATAGAGGTATGGGGTTACATTCTCTAAGCCAATTTGAGCTGTCCACAGTGCAGATCTGAGCTGAGAGAGTCCGGCGCTTAAAGATACTGCATATGCATATCATTACAATAGCTAAAATGCCAACAAGTGATTCTTGTGAATACATTCATGGGTTTGGCATGACCAATAAACCTTGCCATTCATGGCAAATGGTTTCCTCTGGCAGAATTTACATCAGTTCTTAACCTCATTATGATGGCACTATGCCACTTCCATATTCTTTCTTGTTCCAAATCCATCTGGTTCCCAACAGAAGTTACAGCAGCCAAAGCACAATTACAGCAGCTGGGGAGCTTTGGAGGAACCTGCTGCTCACCCCTTTATAATCCAGGTGGAATTAGAAAAAGACTGAGGAGTTACTGTACAGCATTTACAATTTGGAAACATCTCTTGGGCATTAGGATTCCTCATGGCTGCTCTAGGCTGACAGAGACCTCAGTATCTGGCCTTCTAGCGAAGGCACTCGATACAGTCTGACATACTCACATGTATTTTGACAGTGCCTTTCTTTCTCCTTTAGTATAAGGGCCACGATACTAATTGCTGGAAGTTGTAAGCATTGTTACAAGCACTGCAAAAGCACTGCACTTGTTCTGCAAACACCACTCGCCACCCACCTCTGAACAAGCATCTGAATAGTCCTGGATTCATCACTGCTTCCTTCTGGTTTTACACCTGTGTCAATTAACCGAAGCCAAGAGATTTCCACCATCACTCTTTGGTGTAACGTAGAGGAGAGTTACACTCATAACTTCTATTATCACTCATGGTAGTTACGCCCATGTTCTGGGCAGAGAGGAGCAGCTGCCCTCTAATAAGGAGCTAGTCATGACAAAGAGAATACTGACATGGGACCCACATAATTGTCTTTATAAGCATACTGCAAAGCAAGAATGATTGCCAATGGCAGGAATCACAAAAAAACACAACATCTCCCCCTCCCCCATTTTAATTTCAATTTGCAAAGAACAGCACATTTCTGCAGCAAATAGAGTTTACTAAACCAGCTGCCTTTTGTTATTGTCCTTATGCCTATCTGTGATATTATACAGCAGATACCATTTTATCAGTGTCCATAAATAACTTTTATTATGCATCTGAAAAAGCACAGTTTAGCATTATGCAGTACAGTCACCATCTATTCCCGTGGTTGAGGCCAATAACTTTCTTCTCTACTTGCCATTATGCCCCTAAATCTGGGTGATGGCTTTCAGCAAAAAAATAAAAGAAAAAAAAAAAAAAAACAACTAGACAGCATCCCCCTCTAAGTATTCTGAGAGACTGCCAGGAGCAGAAGCAGATATTACTAGGTATACTGCCGAATGCTGCATCCAGCTCCAGTTTGTTGTGATTTTCCCTCTGCAAGCACCAAATTTACTGCCAGCTCCATAACCAGGAAAGCCAGCCTGACAAAATCCAAGACAGTGCACTCACTCTTCAGGATACATTGAAGCCTGTGTCTTATGTTAACACTACCAGTGCCATCATCTGGCTTGTTACCAGCTGCTGTCACTGCTCCTAATCACTACTTGTGCCAAAGAAAACAAAAGATAATTGGCCTAAAGTTCTTGGCCACTCCTACTTCATGCACTTTAAAAAACAAAACAAAACAAAACAAAACTCGACAGCAAATGAAGAAAATAACATCTATATTTTAAATTTCTGGGTTTTTTAGATCAGCCTCTTGTTCTTTTGCATTCTCTTAACTGCTAATGCTTGCATTTGTTTTACTGTCATTTGCTCTGACAATTTGAATAGTGATGTAACGACAAATGACTGCCTGATATTCAATGTTACTCATAGTACCTTTGTCATTGGTGGCTCAAGTGCACAATGAACAGTATCTTGAGTGTAATGTATTTGTGGCTTTGTGAAGGCAGTAATGATATACAACAGGCTTCTTTTCTCCTATTGTTTCTGTGCTTTATAATAGAACAGCCTGCCATAGAAACTTCCTGTGACCAGGGAATAATGGAAAATGCTGGGCCATTGTCAGCCATGGCAAAAATTTGCAAACTTCACATTTTCTTTAATTATTGGAGAATGGGTTTTCAAAGCTCCACACATTGTTCTAGAGAGATGTCATAGCATCTATCTTACCATCCTCACAAAAGCTTTTTATCTTCAAACGACAGGGATATACTTGTTGAGGGCCAATTAGTAGTCCTTCTATGGAGAAGTTTAAAGGAATTTTTAATTAGTAAATTGACCCACGGTGTGAGTCACCTGGAAAGGAATTACTTTAGTTCCTAAGACAGTTAAGCTTTCTGACACAAATATTAGTCGGTACCTCAGATTCAAGACCCTCTATCTCTTAATACTATCTTGTCCTGTAAACCGATTTCATTCACTACTGTGGGATGACTCAGAAAGAATAAATGTTGCTCAGGGTGAACAGGGGCAGCACTCTGACTCTTATTCTAGGCCTCTAACATCACTTTCATTTATTTGGAAGAAATGTTGCATGTCACTTATGTTTGTTCTGCCTTAAATTCTAAACAGCAGTGTTTTATCCTATCTGCACTAAACTGCCACTGCGGGACAGTTAGTGTTCTTCTCTTGTCTTAATCTGCCACGCAGTACTGCTGTGTTCTTCAGTAACTGCTGTGAAGCTACCATTCAAGGTAAGTAGATGTAACAATAAAATGAAGTGAATAACAGTGTATGCAGAGGAGAGGCTGGAGTTTCACATTCCTAACTGGGCACCAACTCATAGCTCCCTACAGAGTCAATGGAAAGAGGCAGCCACCTCCAGAAGGTGATTCAGAGCCTAAATGTTACACGCTTAAATGAGATAGCGTGAATCTCTCTCCCACCATCTGCAAATGGTCTTGCATTCTTGCCTTCTGAAAGGTAATGTGAGATACAAGGATGACAGACATCATCGTTTTGCCACTTTTCTCAGAAATAATAGAATTAACTTCATATGCTGCCTTCTGTACAAAACTCTACTAATGAGACTCTCTTCATGAGAAAAGAAGGATGAGGAAATCAAACTGCAATCTGTTGTGGTATGAATATGGGATATGATAGACTTTTCCTATTCCCATTGACATAATTGGTAACTTGCTCAACTTTCTTCAGCAGAGGCACAGTCTGAAATCCCAACTCAGTAAAAGCATCGGGGGGAGGGGTGGGGGAAAGATGTTAGAAAGTTGTTACTGCAAATCACATAGAAAAATCTGAGATTCATCTATATCAATAGTGCTTTCACTGATTTTAGCAATCAGTATAATAATCAGTATTTCTGATATACATTGCGTCACTACTTAGGAAGCCGACAAGCAAGTTTGTGTATAAAAGGGAAATCTGAGCCTCAGATGAAAGGCATTTTCAAGGTATCCTGACATATGTAAACATGTAAGTGGGAATCAGCAGAGCCCTAAACTGATAAACATTTCTCATAAGTTATGTATGAATTAAAATCAAGTTTTTATTAAAAATGCATAAGTATGATCTGCGGTGAATAGATCTATTAGATATGCATGTTTACTTTTTAGTGAACACAGAAATTAGTAATTTTTCCTCTAAATGTCAGTTCTATCAGAGGGTTATAGACTGATAATTCTCAGATGCCATCCAGCTGGTACATATATTTGTGGGGAAAGAGGATTAAATAACAAACTGTGAAATGATTATTTGTTGCAGTGACAAGAAAATGCCATTTCAACCATTGTGTCTATTCTATTTTATAAGTCAGATAGCACTCAGTGGCCCCTCCCTTTCGCTCATCATAATGAAAACAATAAATGAAGATTGATTTGGAGGACAATAAGCTATTTAATGCTTTAAAATTATGGTGTTTTCAGTGTACTGCTTTCCTATCACACATTGTTTACAGAGGTTCCTGTCTTCCTTACCCCTGTAAGAAGTCAACAGAAAATGACCTAAAAAATAAAGTGAGCATAAATTAGTTTCATCAGTTTGATTTCAGCATCAATGAGTGGTTATGGAAGAACGGAAAGCACAGTTTTTAGAGCATTTAAAGGTAAGTATGTACAACAGCTGACATTCCTTTGGTGAAACTAGTTTCTTCAGTTTCCTTCTACAGTCAATGAAGTGACAAAAACCTTTTCAAAACAGCATTTCCTCGATCTGTGTATCGAGATTGTCCCTAATATCAAACGCTTCTCAGTAAAATGACTAGTAAAAGTGTAAGAGGAGAGGAAAAAAAAGTAAGTAATAAGCACTATGGATGGCAACATTATTAAGATGGGTCTGTGATCTCCTCCTCCTCCTCCCTCCCTCCACCCCCAAAAAAGCCTTCTTAAGCTGAAAAATCACTTTACTTAAGAAATAACTCTAAAAGACCTTACCCACTCAGATCTGCTCCCTGGATGACTCCCTCTTCTGACCAAAGAGAAGCCTAGAGAGATTACCCTGAGTTAGTCAGACTGTGAATACCCTCCAATACTATGAAAATATTCACCATTGTTATCCTCAGCTAAATGTCACTTAGACTTCAAAACATAAGCAAATCTTGGAGAAATCCATTGATACATCTTCTCTCATAAAATATCATTAGCTATAGCTACCTCTTTCAGCATCGTACACGTTGAATGACCTCTTCAGGTCATGACTGGTGCCATGGAACTAAAAAGGCAGTTTAGAGATCATGTGGATATCCTGGTAATTCAGCAGGTGCTGACATCAGTCTCCAGAGCAGACACTGGCTGAATCCAACCAGCCCCCGAACCCAGGGAGATGTCACAGCCTCAAGTCTTCACCCCAGCTGAAACTAGATGTCTAATTAGACCCATGATCTAATGTATGCTTAAAACACTCATCTGGTACACCATGGCATTGAGAAGATCCAACAGAATTTAGAGTCCTGCCTAGAAAAAGCCTGCCTACATCACCAAGTATTTGTTACAAGGCTTATCCACCACATTCATGTTGCGCTCATTCCTGCACCTCGGCCCAAGACAGTAAAGCCGCTACCAACTCAGAACAGTACATTGCTGCTTTGAGTCATTCAGCAGTGGAGCATATTCCTGCCTGTTGACTACACAGTGCTAGATTCCACTCCACTGAGTACAGAATGACTATAGAGAGCTTTTTGTGTATTTTAAAAATGCTTGCTTAGTGCTTTTTGTAGAGAAACAGATAACGAACAAACAAACAAAAAAAAACTACTGCTCATCATTCAAGTTGCTAGTTCAAATCTCAGTCAATCTGAAATCAATTCTTACTGCCAAAGACTTTCCTCCTGGCTATACTGGATGTCTAACTTAGCTAGATATTCTAGGTCCCTATATTCGGGCAGTTTATACACCTCCTCTACTTCCATTCTATTTAAAACTTTCCATCCTACCCATCATCTGAGTATTTAAACATTGAAGCTTAAGTTTACTCACTGACTTCTATGTGAGTTCAGCTTCAAGAACTACCGGATTAGACTTGTTATTTATCTGGTTTTTTTTGCTTTTTTTTTTAATCATTGTAACTTAAGACAATATACTTTGCTTTTTTTGAACTGTGTATTCACAATTATCATTATTCAGCCACATTTCTGTGAAAAAAATATACTGTACCATCTACAGTACCATTAAAATGACATAATGGACTGTTACCTTTCAGAGTATCCATTTTTTGTGTGCATTACTATTTTTAACTTCAAGTTCTCAAGAAATAAACAGCTTTGTTATGAATCTGCGGCATTTTATCTCAGAAACAGACTAGAAAGAGTGTTTACTTTCCTACCAAGGTATCACATAACCTAAAAAGTTTGCTATATATTTCTTTCATGGCAACAAAAGATGTTAGGTCTCTGAATTCATGCTCAAGTCCTTGTTTTATACATTCCCAGAAACACCTCAAAATCAACTCTGTAGTATTATACAATAGCTTTCAAAAACATACGTCTTTTCAAAGTCTGGTATTCATAAGATTGTTTCCTTTTCATAGCTAGTGGGATGGTAATGTTTTTGGATACAATGAAACTTTCACTTTCTTTCCTGACAAAATTGAAACAAAGTAAGAAACAGAATTTTAAAGAAGACACAGATGCAAGTTGTTGCCTACCTTTGAAATTGTGAATATGTCAAAGACTTAAATATAAGTACTATCTGAAACTCAAAAATCAATTCATTCTTTTTTTTGGGGGTGGGGGAGGTGGCTAGATCAACAAGCTAACAGCAATAACAAAATCACTTTCCATTTTACATATGAAGCCTATTTCTTTAATTCTACTTCCGCTAGCAGAAAATTTAGGAACATGTACCTATCACCAAAATTTTCCACTGTAGATATTTCTCCTCTAAAGCAGCTACTGGAAACCATTGGAAATAATGACAATGAAACACAATAAAAAAAAATGCAAAAATCCAAAAAAAGGGCCCCCAAAATGCAGTAACTGGGAACAGACACAAAAAATTTCATTACCGCTTCCTTATAGAAAAAAGGGAAAAAATAAACATGCTATGCACATTAGTGATGTGGCTTAGTGTGCTGTTTTTAAAGTATCACGGTGATAAGCATGATATGAGAGCCTATATTAAAAAAAAAAAAAAGTCTTTGTTATGTAGAACTGCAAGGTAGCTAATCCTAGGGCATTTTGTTTGTGAATGCCTTCATTTTGCCATTTTGCTCTCTGAGGGACCTCATCACTAATCCAGTAAACCTCACTCCCTGAAGGTCCAGAGACAATTCAATCTACAAACTGCTGAAACACGAGCTTTGCCCAAGCCATGCTGTTTGTGGTATAAAACTGTGCCAAAACTAGTGAGGTAGATTTGTGATATGGACCATAACCTGCCAGGATCACCATTCCCAAAGCAATTGTCCTTAGTTTTAAACATGAAAAATCTCAACCCACAAAGCCTGACAACACTGTAAAAATTGCAAGCAAAGATTATTCAAAAAGCTCAAATATTCTGTAGATGGCAGATAAAATGAACATTAAAATATTTGCTATTTATATTGTTAAAAAGCAGAACAAAATTTTACAAGACTGATCACTGAAACAGTCTTATTCTCTAAGAAATAAAGCTCTGCTCTCCGTAGTTAAAAGTATGATTGTTTCATAACACATGCAATAACTGAAAGAGAATCTAATGCAAGAGTGAAGAATCGTTTGTGTGCAGTGTAGATTACTGGTACTTCTTACAATATACCCCAAAGTCACGAAACACATACAGCAGATATTACTTTCCGGTTTGTACGTAATTCATTTCCTGCACAGAACAACTCCAATACTATTTGCAGCAGATCAAGTATGGGCCTTTAGGTGCAACACAGCAACGAAGTATGTGTTTATGGACTTTGGTATCACAGGTAAGTACAGGAACTCAGCGGACACAGTTTCCAAAATAAAAGTATTTGAATTTTCTCTTACATCACATTATTCTTTTGCAGAAATGCAGGAAACTCAAGTGTGTTTCCAGACAAGTTGTTGGGGGTTTGATCACTTTTTCCATTAGCTAAAAGCAAAGATAACAATTAGGGCCTACAATGTCAAAAGCACCTATCAATTCTGCACGCCTTTCTCCTTTTGGTTAGGCATGATGGCATACCTCTGACAGTGGCTTCAGCCAGAACTGTAACTGGAATAGGTCAACGCAGAGACGGAGTCATGCTTATGCTCTAGACCGTGGGGTGTTAAGTGAGGAGAGGAGAGATTGCAGTCTTTGTATATCCATGCAATACAGAAATCGGGGAGGCTGTACCCCTTATAACATGGGCTTCTTCAGTGTTTCAGACAGAATACCCCAGGATCACTAGCTGGGATCCAACATATATGATATTTGTTTATAAATTGTATACATATTTTAATACTTAGCTGCAATATCTGAATTGCATTATAATTTACTTGGGGGAGGGAGAGGAGATAACAACAGGCAAACAGTACACGAAGAACAATATAAATAAATTCAGACAGAAACTGAGAGAAGACACTGCAAAGGCTGAAATAGCAGTCATTTAATTAGCCTTGGGAGTATGGCAATCTTTGCCTGATGAATAGAAACCATACAGCAATGATTTCTGAAGAATTGAAGTTTCCTTACGAAATCTCGTCCTTTCTCATCATCATAGTTGGGAAGACAGCTTCTAAGTTGACAAGGCACAGTACTTTTTCCTCTGCTTTACCACTGCTCAGACTTCTCCCAAGCAGCACTAGAGGGGACACAAAAGGTTTCTAACTGGCATCCATGGGGCTCTTGAAGACTTTCAGAGAGGACTGAAGCTAACAACAATCACAGCAGCATCACCTTTACTGCTGTTGCTATTAAACAGTCTAAGCAACAGGATATTTCCCTTATTGAGGTGAGCTATTAATAGAAAAGGAAGACACCTAGAAAGAAGGAAATGTAAAGGAAGAAGTATCACAAGATTCCTTTCGATGCAATCAGCATTGCTGACACACAACAAAAAAGAACAAAGAGAGACCCTGTGCCCAGAGTTCTCCTGGAAAGGACAAAAGGCAAGAAAGATTGATATTACTATCTTAAAGAATTGCAAGATATTTTAAAATAATTAACTTTGTAAACAAAAAGTAATGCCTTCTTCCTAATGTTAGCAAAATTAGCTCTTACTTGCGGTTAATTCTTCTCATTGGCTACGAATAAAGGAGAAAATGAGCTGTCAAAGGTTGTTTTCCATAGTACAAATGAGAGCACAAATAGGAAGGTATATGTATGTTAATAAGCTGGGGAGCAATGATCAGTATGCCCTTGAGAAAAGAAACATTCCTGAGCTCTCTGATAATCTGATGAAACAGTTATGTTCCCTTAGCTATGAGCATGTAAAATGCAATTATGAAAATAATTTTGCTTGTGCAGGGGCTCTTCTAAGTTGATACAGCTCTACTCTGAATCAGTATTTGAAACAATCATCCTTTTTTTGTCCATTTCTGGACAACTCTATCACTTATCTAGATGATATGCCACAACTTCTCTAATAATCTGAAGTATACTTCAATATTACTTATTGTACTTACCGTACAAAGCACAATTAGATCACCACGCCCAAGCCCTGCAGAGATGGAAAAAAAAATCCCCAAAAATGGTAAAACCTTTCTTTTTACAAACTTATTTTTCTCAGCTAGAAGTATATTTTCTTCTTTATATATGACTTTTTAAAAACTGTAAGGTTTTGGTAATAAGAGATCATGATGTTATAAATTATATATATATATTTATAATTTTAAGTGTGATTATCAGTCTAGAAATGTTTTTCCCCCCATCTCATCAAGCCAGATGACTTCTTCATCCTTTGTTTTTGATTTGCATCTGCATTAACAAGGCTGCTAACAATAGGATAAATCTTGACAGTACTTACTCCTTTAAGTAGCCTTACCTAAAAAGTAGCAGCAACTAATCAAACAAAGGCCTACTTAGAACAGTTAAGTCTGAAAAACTCATGACCTGTTCTTATCTGATGGTATATGGCACATGAAGAAATATGAGAAGCAATTTTTGTAAAGTGAGAAAAAGAGCATTTTTTCCATTCTCTTGGAAGAGAAAAAAAGAGCTTTTTTTTCCTCCAGGTAAATGAGGATTCTTGCTTTGAATCCATCTAAATGTCATTACATAGGCCAAGTGTGATTCAGGCTTTGTGTTATTGCTAGCACAACAAAGAAACTCTTCTTGCTCAAGAAATTTGCCAAGTTTTCCTGCAGTTCATGAACATATGACAATGCTAAAAGTTTGCTTAAGCTACTCTAGAATACAGTATTTACTTTCTAAAAAATATTTATACATTTTACTTATTATAGTTCACATCCACTTTTAAAAAGCTTATAGTACTGCTTAAGACAATTGTACATCAGCTTACTTACTCATCCACCTGCTGATGCATTCTTATGGGTATTTCTGTTAATACTTTTAATCATGAGTTTTGTAAGTATATTTTTTTACCATGAGTTAGTAAATATGTTTTCCTTCACAGACTTTCA